TTAAAGTGGTTTAAGAGATTGCGGCATAAGACAATTGATTGAACTTTATTAATATTAATATTTTTTTATTCATATATAGATTTTCCCTAAGTTGCAAAAAGGGTTATTTTCCTCAACACCTTGGGCTTAAGGTTTAGTGATTGACGAATATAATGTTTTGCTTCTTAATTTAAAAAAAAATTTTAATTAGTTTTAAGAGTACCCAAACTTCGTTTTAGAGGCTTTAGTTGACTTTGTGTTGTTTTGTTTCATTTGATGTTGTTGTTGTCGCACATGATTTGCCTTTCACCCGAGCAGAGAGCGTGCCCTCGTCCACGCCCCCTCACCGCCCATCGCATCCTTTGCCACCCACCACCCCCCCTTTTTTCCCCCACTCAAGCCGCAGGGCACATTGCTCCAAAAATGTCAAAGTGCCGCCACTGACACCGCTGGGCCTTTGTGGCGGGAGACGGGGGACGGAGGGGGAAGAGGGGGTGGATGGAGAGGGGGGCGGTGGGTGGAGGGCATGACAAGGGCGCGAGGATGTTTAACATGTGCGCGAAGAAGCGAAGGAGAGGTGAAGATGTGTGTGTGTGTGTGTGACACCCGCGAGAAATGCCTCGCATTTTTTCTCTTTTTGACCCACTTTGCTTTGTCGTCAGCAATGTGGCTCCTGTCGCAGCTCCATCTCCTGTCCTCCCATCTCCCATCTCCCATCTGAGTGTCCTGTGTCCTGTCTCCAGTCTCGCAATCCCACCGCTCCCCCTGCTCCACCATTCCCATTTTCCCTGTGCATGTGTCACTCGGCAAGCGTTTAAATTGGGCTTCTCCACGACGACCCACAAACTACAAAACCCACCATATGTATATATGTGGCAGTATGTCGGGTTCGCCTTGTTTTGTCGGTCGCCTTTGTGCCATATTTTCACAAATTGAATTGGCCATGTCACAAATGAAAGGATGCAGCTATGAAAATTTCTGCATTCAAATTTTTCAACCAAAATTATTTTAGCAAAATGTTGGCCGCATTTGCCACGGGAGCTACGAGCAGAAGCAGCCGGTCAGGAATCGCAGTCGAAACTTTTCTAACTCAACATCTCAGTAACAAGAACAAAATTAAAATGCTTTAAAAAATAAAATAAAACTTTTTTTTCTATACTTGTTTTAAGATATTAATAAGAGCTTCATGGTTTTTCTTCAAGAAGTTCAAAGATGGTCTCAGCAAATTAATCATTCTTTCCACTTCTCTAAAGATTTTTTATTTTCTTTAAAATGTTTAGTGAGTATTTTATTTTTTTACTTTTCATTATTTTTTCAGACGTCCAGACTCCGATTTGTATCCCTCGGTTTTAACCGCATATCCACCGTAATAAAGTTATTATGCATTCGGAGCAAGGCGAAACCGACTAGACGAAACCACTTTTCTCCGGGAATGTTTTTGTGTTTGTGGGTATCTGTGGGTGTATGTGTGAGATAGACCACTTCTGGTGTGGAGTGGGCTAAAAATCTGACGTCGCCCCAACAACCCGACACATGGCACTTGAGCAAATTTGCATAATAGAAATTAAAATGGATTTTAACATTTCTGTTTTAGATTATGTTCAGTGGCTGCATGGAGATGGTCAGATGGTCAGAGGGTCAGGAAAAGCAGCTGGAACAGCCTCGGAAACAGATTGTTATTTTATCTTGTGGTATGTGGTACAAAATGTAGAGCTCATGGGGAATTCACAAGCAAATAAGGAATTCTGGCAGAGAAACCCACAAACTCAAACATTGAAAACCCGAAAATTTGGATGGTTAGGCAAAATAATGTTAGAAATTCGGGTAAGCAACTATTTATTTAAGATTTTATATATTTAAAAGATGAAAACAAACAGTGAAATCAAAGAGCAGGAAGTTATTTATGGATTGTTACAGACTTCATTAAATACAGATTAATTTAAATTTTACAATATTTACTTATAAAATATTATAAGCTTTAAATTATGGATTTATCAATTGAACGCCATGCGCAATATTTATGCCAAGAATACATAGTTTTATATACTGCAAAAATAAGCTGTTTCTAAGGAAACATAAAATATAACCTTTCACGCTTTTAAGCACTTCATCGCTTAAAATACGGCCTTTGGTGGTGACCTACTGCTCGAACCTGCTCCACTGCTCCACTCTTAACGGAATTGGGTCTCATTTGCGTAGGCCATTGCAGATCCCAGTTGGCTTGCTCCACTTTCACTGGCGTGCCGAAACATAAAATGGCGTTAAAGAAGCTCTTAAATAATGCATAAGGACACACATAGAAATTCCTCTTTAAATGCTTTGATTTGGATTCGCATTGGGGCAAGGAAGCCAAAAATCTGCAGCCAATGCCATCGCATTAGGGGGAAAATGGGGGTCAAAAGCCACAGGGAGTGGAATTCTGCTCACTGGCAAACATATTTGCTTAAACTTTAACATGTTGTCCTCTCGCATTTTTAGCAATATTTGCTGCTGCAGTTCTTGGCCTTGTACCATTTTGTGTACAAATATTTTCAGCGCTTGGACACAAGCCAGCAAAAATTAGCAAGTGGGAAAAAGAGAGCGGTGGGTATACAAAAATATGTGGAATAAATAAGCTCTTAAATTGTTTTGTCATATGTGTGGCTGAGCACGGTTTTGTGGGTCAAAAACCACTTTTTAAAATATGTGCGAAACAAAATTATAAACTGAGTTTAACAAGTTTAAAATAACAAAAATATATTTTACATTTTTGAGACATGTTTAAATAGTTTGAAGCGTAATATTTTCATAATTTACCTAACCGACAAATATTATTAGTTAGTGATTGAAATTTAAAACGTTTGTTACGGACATATAAAGTGTTGATGGTAAAACTTGTTGAAAATCTTATTTATTTACACAATGAATTTATTACTACATATATGAGATAATTGAATATCAGTATGTTTTGATTTTTTTTTAGATTTCTTTACTATTTCCACAGTTATTAGTTCCAAAGTTTAGTCGTTCACGAACTTATTTTCCGCTTCCGTCTACTAAAGTTGTGTGGAAATTTGAGGAAAATTTTCTTCTGCTGTCCCAGTTTGTTTGCTCTTTTTTTGGCTACCAGTTTGAGCCGCTTATTGAGCACTGTTGCTGTTGTTGCTGGGGATATTGCTGTTGTTACTCTTGCTGTTGCTGCTGTTGCTCTCGATGTTGCTGCTGTACAATCGCCGGACATGTGGCACTGCCGCTTGTTGGGGACTCTCGGACTCAAGGAGCTTATGCATGCGATGGATTATCCTTTATTGAATCGATCTCCTGCTCTCTGCTCCTTTTCACAAGTCCATTATTACGGACGGATGGACCGCAGCGGCAGCTGGCAAGTGTGTTTAACCTTGAACTTCAAAGGACTGAAAAGCACTCGGACCTCCATCTGTGCCTCCTTCCTTTGGCAACATTTTTCTGTGTTTTCACTCGCTTTTCACAGGCAATTTCAGGCCGTAAATTAGTTTTATGTTGCTCGATTTTGCTTTTATTAAATTACCTTTTTCATGATTACTTGCAAACTTCATTTGGAAAAATGCCTGCCGACGGAAATAGCCAACGAGGTCGGGGCTGTCCCGCAATAATTTGCGCCATTTTGTAATTTCAGTTCCCTCCTTCGGCCTTCGTCCTTGGTCCTTCGTCCTGGTTGCTGGCTCCTTGGTGATGCTCCACCGTCGCTTCTGTTTCCGCCGTTTTGGGTCGAAGACCTAATAAAGTGCCCGCAAAAACCATCGAGCGACTCCAAACTTTACCGCTCTCCACCAAAATCCGGAGCCCCTACAGGTTAATTATCTTCGGTGTAATTTAGTGGCCTGCCTGCCGAAAAGGGCTTTCCATTTTAATTTATTTGACCAGTAAAAGGATTAGATTAGATTCCCTGATAAATGGTCGTCAACTCGCTAGTTAAATAGCAAAACTGTTCGCTCAATTCGGGCTGCTAATTGGGTTTGTTCAAGCCACAGAAAATCAACGACCCATTTGCAAAGGAACAAAGTTGCTAAGCACCTGATTATCATATTTTAGGATGGTTATGCTATGTAAAGTAGAGCAACAGATTTTGGGGTCACTGTACTAAAGTTTTTGTTTTTTAAATTTAAAATTATTCAAAAATCTTAAAATTATATCAGATGAAAATATTAGTTTTGTTTAAAAGGATTCGAATACCAAATATTATAATTGCAAATGTTTTTTTTTCGTATTTAAAAATTCAAATATTAAAAGACAAGTTGCTTTACCGTTTTTGTTATTTCTAACAAAATTATGAAAAAACTTAATCAAAACAAAAAATAGTGCTCTTGAAATTGAGAAACAAGCTCTTTGGAAGAGATAGGGTGGCTTACTAATCAAAACTGTTCTCCTAATGTCATTCTCTAATTAAGTTCTTGTAGATAAAAACCAACACGACAAAGTTTCGCAACCAAAAAACAGGTTGAAAGGGATTTCCCAAGCTGTTTGAAATTTTCTTGTTATTGCAATTAAGTAATCAGTTACATTTGAACTACTTCTGCGTCTAATACTTTAAAACATAAATATCAACAAATGTTTTCCAAGTATTATACGAAATATAAAATGTGTCTAGCAAAGTAAACAATAAAAAATATTAGAATAATGTGTCTGCTGATTGAAATCTACGAAAATTTCACTTTCTCCGAACATAATATTATACGATGCAACAAAACCGGTTTGTTGTAATACCCTTTACTAAAAAATTGTCAAGGGCATATTGTATTTATAATAAAAATATACGTAACAGGTAGAAATGAAGCTCTGATATAAACAATTTTTTAGCGTTTCATCTAGGGTTCTTTCGAGTTCTGTGTGTAAAAATTTTATGTCGTCAGAGTGAGGGCAGATAATAAATGTAAAGAAAATGTGTAACGTTCTATCTTCTTCATTATCAATATAGGCCAATAGATAGGTAATAGAATCTCACTGCCGGAGGAATCCCTATAAAAACGAAACGATGCATTGTCTAAACCAACAGTGAGCTCTCAACTCTTTACCAAAAACAACCTAGCAAAATGTACTTTCTCGGCCTGTTTCTGCTTCTAGTTGGTACAAACGTCTGCCTGATTGAGGGAAATTTCGGTTCCAGTACAACAGGAAACGATTATACATATGGGACGCAGGCAACGACTGATAGCCTCATCGCCAGTGAAACTATTTCTCAGAGCAAATCGCCGCTGCAAACGACAACGAAAACATATACCCTAACTCAGGCAGGAACTGCAAAAACCATTACCTACATCAAGATCACGGATCTGATGAGAAAGCGAGGTGCTTCTGCTTCAATTACTTCCGGAGGTGTGGGTTCTACGACAGTTACGATCGTATTTACTTCAGCTCGAGGAGCTGCTATTAAGTCCCAAGTGGTAATTTATGGTTCTTAATAAGTTCTATTTATCGAACAAGAATACAGATTGTAAAACTCCTAATAATAAAAACAATTTTTGGAATTAATTGTGTTCATATATACACCAAATTTATCAAATTTTAACTAACAAAATGAAATAAATTAATTTAAAAAAGTTTTGGGCTTCTTAATCGTTTGATTTTTGATTTGATTTTGCTTTAAAATCTTTTCGTTGCCAGCGTATTTCTGAATGGTTTGTGTAATGGGAACATTTTGGTCGGTTCTGCTAAATATATAGAGTTTCCTCTTGTTTGACCTTAACGTTCTTTCCTGATTTTATCAATAATATATTCCACATGTAATATTATGTTTCTTCAGTGTGTGGCCAGATAATAAGTTGCATGTTGAAGATATGTTTGCGTAGGTGTAACAGACTCCACTATCGAAATGGGCCATCAGATGGGTTATAGAATCTCACTTCCGGAGGTAGACCTATAAAAACGAAGCGCTGTCTTTTCTTAACGAACAGTAAACTTTTCACTCTCATCCAAAAACAACCTATCAAAATGTATCTCTTCGGCGTGTTTTTGTTGTTACTTGGTACAAACGTCTGTCTTATTGAAGGAAATTTTGGAAACGCAGGAGAAGGAAACGATTATACTTATGGAACCCAGGCGTCAACGGATACTCTCATCGCCAGTGAGGTCATATCAAGAAACAAAGCGCTTTTGCAAACGACGACGAAAACATATACACTAACTCAGGCAGGAACTGCAAAAACTATTACCTACATCAAAATTACGGATCTGATGAGAAAAAGAGGAGCTACTGCTCAAATTACATCGGGTGGTGTGGGTGCCACAACAGTCACGATCGTATTTACTTCGGCACGAGGAGCTGGTATTAGATCCCAAGTGGTAATATATGGTTCTTCATAAGTTGCATAACGCCAATAAGAAATTAATTTAAATATTTCCGAACAAATTGTGTTTAAGTTTAATCTAAGATATGTTCATTCAAATTTTATTTATAAAACAAATGTTATAACTACAAAAATCATTAAGATTTCTTTATCATTTTAATGTCAACACAAAACAATTGCTTTCATGCAATCAAGTAGACAAAATAAAGTTTAATTACTTTTAAATTTACTTAAACAGAAACCAAGTGTTAATTACCTAAACGTTTGTGTAGCTGAATTGTGTAATCAATGCATTACTTAAACACTCTAGCTAATGAAATTTATGGTTCATGTACTCCTTAGATAAATTCCGATGTATTTACCTAAGCTTACCTGCAACGACCTTACAATAGAGTTAAATCTGGCAGATCTTTTCATGCATTAGCATAATTGAATTCAGACGATTCATAAATAAATGCTATTAAGACACGACGGCAGGCACATATGGAGATAGGTATATAGCATATATATCGCAGTATAAATCAACTGCGGCACATCCATTCCACCGAAATGCGAATGCGAAATCCGACTGCTGACAAGTGTCACCGAGAGATGCTATGACAAAGTGTCAAAAGAATGTTTGACATCCGACTGTCTGTCTCTATCCCATTCGCTCTTTGGGCCATCTTGTGTAGCCTGTCCAAATGTACATTTCTCATATCTCCTCGGCGTTCTCCAATGTTGGTGCTTCTTTTCCCTTTTTTTTTTTTTTTTTTTTTTTTTTTTTGTTCTGCAGGGCTTTCATATTGCCGCTTTTTGTGCCGACCCGCCGCTTTTTCTTATATTTATCCATATATTGCCTGGTTCCAATGGGATGCTGCGGGCTGCCCAGGTAGGAATACACAGGTGGCGAGACACGAAATAAGGGATAGTGGGATTGAGGGGGAATCAGTAGAGGGGAGGGGGGTGCTCTGTCTGTGACAGACTCACACGTTTTTTCCGTCCCTCCGGCGATCCTTTTAGCACCTGCCCCCAATCCCTGGGCGTATAATTTCATCTGCCAACTGATTGAGTGTCGCAGTTTTACTTGTGTAAAAAAATCAAAAAGATTTTTATCTAGAAATCGGCAATAGAAGAGGAATTTTTACCGTGGAATACCAGGTAAAATTCTGACAGCACTTGACGCATGGACAAGTTTAAAAAGAAATCGCAAATAAATCGAGGACTTGCAAGAAAAAAACTAAAAATAGCCATGATTATGCAAAATTCACATACTTGTATTTGATAATAAAATATATTTTAAAATTTAGAAAAAAGGAATAAAAAAACCCAAATCTATCTATGCTTTAATCAATTTGTATTACAACCAAACTATTTTTTCATAATAAAATCAAATATTGTTTATTGCCCCAAGCTATTTATAGGGTAACTAGTTTTGAGGTATTAAAGCTATTAGCGCTGCGAATTAGTATTACTACATATAATTTAATTTTAATCCACACTAAAAACGTTTATTTAGTTCCTTTAGCTATTAAAATTGTTAGTTATTTAAGTGAATTCATTTGCATGCTTAATTTGTAATCGACACCAATCATAAAGAAATGAAAGGGGGCGCATTTAAATACATAAATATGCAGTATGAAAATTGAATTGAATTGGTATTTTATTCCATCTCTTGCATAGATTATTTTATCTCTCGATAGCGCACTTAAGATAGAGTTCATCACTCAAAGGTCAACTACCAACCGCCGCAAGGTGGATTCCCAACCACAAGTGGGTCAGTGGAGTGTAATCAGCTGAAATGTGTTCCTCGGGGGAATGACCCACTCGCAGCACCACCATTCCCTCAAAGCCCCGGAACCAGACTGCCGAGAAGCCCAAAGTTATGGCCAAGACTTGGCCCGATTGCCACCCAATTTGCACATTTGTGGCAGGTAAGTTAACAGTGGCAGAGAGAAAGTTCTATACCACCATTTCTCTCATTTGTGGATCCCAAGCTAACAGCGAAAGAGAGTCGCAGGATTTCCCCTTTAAATGTGGAAGCGAATTTTACAGTGTTGTTTTAAACAGGACTTCTGTTTAACTTTCACGAACCCAACTTGTTGACTGTCCGAATGAGAGCTCTGCAAATATTTGCTAAAAATGATGTATGTTGTATCTGTTGCCAAAACTTGAATGCCAACCAAATACACCCACTCAAAAATAGCAGACGCAAGCGGTTGACCATAAATATTTTTGGGTCTAATATCTCAAAGGGACTGAATGTTTGTCCAAATACAATCTCCAGGAAAAGGGACTGTTTGCATGGGTCCTGGAATTAGATTAACTTCCCTGGGGCAAAAAAAAATAGGGAAATGCCTTACCCAAGGGACTAAACGCCCACATATTTATTAAAATAAATATCTGACCAGAGCCACTTGCATAATTAACTGAATTTGTTTGCTGCTGACCGCAATTGTGAATTGACTTTTCTGCTCGGGTTGTGGTGGCAATCCCACCCAATTTTGGGAAACTGAAACTAGTGAGAAAACCAGGCAACCTTATGTGTGAATTTTGACAGCTTGGCTAAAAAATATTTCTCCCTTTGGGTTCTTTATTCAATCTATTTTGACAAAAAAGCGTAAGTAATATAAGTTCCTTCGATGTTTTTGTATTGAGTGGCAGCTTTCTTTTAGAATGTCTGCAAAACAAGGAGGTGAACGAGCTTCGCCGGAAATTAATGCTTGCAAGGCAATTATCAAGAAATTGTTTGCAACTTCCTACAAAAACATAGCTTGGGTTTTCTACGAACCACTGGATGCCCAGTTCTTGGCTCTCTACGATTACCATGAGATTGTTAAGGAACCCATGGACTTATCCACCGTAAGACATCGCGTAAATATGGGTTGTTATCAAACGGCCGCAGAATTTGCCAAGGATGTGAGGCTTATTTTCTACAACACCTATTTGTACACAAATCCCGGTCATTTGTGCTACGAGATGGCGAAAAAGCTGCAGCGTATTTTCGAAGAGATGTATGCCCAAGTTGAGTTGTATGCAACTAGTGGCAAAGAAATTGCATCTGAACAAGAGAGTTCTTCGAGCTCCTCGAGTTCCTCTGATGAATCGGTCGAAGCTTCCAAGGATTCTGAGCAAAGCAGCTCGGAAGTTTCCTCCTCGATTCAAGAAGAGTCTTCCGAGCGTGTACTGCCCGGATATTTGGGATCCCTAGAGCAGAATCCCTTTACCACCGAGGAGGATCTCGATCTGCATTCCAAGATCCAACAACTGGATGGCGAGGTGCTGCTCCACGTAATTCATTTGGTCCAAGGAATGGAGGGCGCCGCATATTGCAACAAGGAACTGGAGTTCGATGTCTGCAAACTGAAGGTGCAAACAAAGCACTCGATTCTGAATTATTTGGCCAGCAAGGGAATCACTGGGAAAAGAGTGGCCCGAACCAAACCCAAATACAACTGAATATTTGATCGGAAAACGGTTTAATTTGTTTTTTTGGCTTATTTTTTGCCTAAGAGCCTCTCCCGTTCCATTCTTCTTTCACGCATGGCGCGGTAGTTTCGGAAATCACCGTCCCACACTCTGTGCCGCATTATCTCGTGGGGATTGCAGGCTATGTAGGCGAAGAAGGTGCTGCGAGGAGGTCCTCCGGGCACCAGATAGTTTCCCATGGCATACCAGGCGGAGCTCACGGTGTCCATGTAACGTGTGTTCATCTGATCGTAGTAAGTTCGCTTTACAAGGGCCGCCTGCGAAAATATAAAGACGATTTAAAGTTCATTTTTGAATAGTTATTTTTTTATAAATGTATATACATCATCTTAATAATGTATATGATATATATAACTTTTTTCAACTCTTTTATATGGCTTACCGTTTTTTTGATTTTCTTGTAGTTATCAAAATTCTCCTCAGATCTGCGCAAACGATCGATACCCATGAGATCAGGATCTGGGGGATTTGACTGAAGAACGGAGACCAGCTCAAATATCCTGTTTGACTCGGCTATATTGATCTCGAGCTCCTTTTGGCTGTACTTCTTACCGTACCGCCTCTTGATCCACTCACGCAGAATGGGCAACTTGTGGGCATCCGGCAAACAGGCCAGTACAAATCTAGCTTCTTTCCTGAGCTCCCGCAGTCCATCTTTAAGCATTTTGTTCATCAGCTCGGTATTATCCGGATCGAATTTTTCATGCTCATCGAAAACCAACGCCTTTCGAGGGGCCAACCTCTCCTGACGCAACATCTCGGCCTTTTTTCTGAGGGCCTCCCTTTTCCAAATGGTATTGGCACATCGCACCACCGCAGCCACAATGTCCTTCTTGTGATCCTCATGACTTCGCGTACTGTGGTTGCTCGATCGATCAAGAGACTCCCGACTATCGGAAGTGGGAAAGTCATCGCGGTCATCGAACATATCGAGGGGATCTCCGTTTTCCGGTTTAGTTTTTGAAGTACGTTCTGACTTGGTTTCCGGGGGCTTCTCATCGTCAAAATTAAGCTCTGACATCAGACAATCGAAATCACATGACCCATCATCGTCATTTCTCTCCTCTGATTTATCTAGTGCCTTCACAAATGATTTGGCCATAACCTTCTTCAAGTCAATTGGTTTCGGTTGGCCGGATTGAAAGACCCGATGGTACTTAAATAGGTAGGGTTTGTTCGATCGGGGTCCTCGGAAGAACTTCTTTTGGTTCTGCTTATTGGACATTCGTAATTCGCACTTCTTATTTTTCTTTGCGATTTTTCCCCTGGCAAGACGAAATGATACCGCCGACTTTTTTGGGGCTGGTGGGAGTTCACATTCCATCTCACTTAATTTCGGTTTACATTCCTCGGATTTGTCAGTGAAGTCGACGGGGTGCATACGAAATCCACCGCTGAAAAGTTTGATAGGTGGTGGTTTCCACAGCGACTTCTTAGGCTCTTCTTTTGGAGGTTCCGGAGGGGGTTCCACTGGTTTTTCCTTTTTCTTTCCTTTTTTTATCCTTCTTACCCTTCTTATCTTTTTTCTTTAATGAGAAATTTGAGATGTTTTAAAAAAGTGGTAAGAAAATGGTATATATAGTAATAAATAAGAAGAATATATGAAAGTACAAACTCACCGGTTTCCCCCCTCCTAAACCTCCTCCCTCGAGCCTCTTTCCTCGATAAGTGTCGAGTATAGCCGTATGGGCTATGTCAGAATCCTCGCCCACCAAGGCCCGCTCCCCCCGATCCGTGGGATCTGGCCAGGGTTGTGATACCAAGATCTTCTGGCACAACACACAATCGAAGTTAGAGATGGTCAGCACTTTGGTTTGGTCGCAGTGCATGGCACTCCGATGTTTTGCCATTACTACATCGATGTCGTGTTCCAACTGGGCAACTATCCTCTTCCGACGAAGTTTGGCGTAAGGCTCGGTGACATCCACCAATTCCAGGCATCGATCCCTGGCTTTCACCTCCAGTTCGTCTCTCAAAAGTTGCGCTTGAATCACCTGTCCCTTGTGGATGAGACACATATTGGGCTCGGGCTCGCGACTCTTTGGAGCACCTTCCTCCTTCGGCTTCTCCTCCAAGCCGCTCAGCTTGAAATAACGTTCCAAAGTCTCGGAGAGCGTTTTCTTAATCAGTCGCTGGCCCGGATTCAATCTGTACTGGGCATACCAAGGCTGCTCCTCATCATCTGTGCCATAGTTCGGGGGTCCATCGGTGGGCCAAAAGTTGAAGGCAACGACAAAATCAGAGGGTGTATATGTTAACTTAGAGGTTCTTTGCACAGGTTTTGGTTGATTTTGAAAGTACGGAGACTTCTTTGAAGGCTTTTTTTTTGCTGGACGATCCTCTGAAGACTCAGAATTCAATGGCTGAGCTTCAACAATTTCAGGTATCACCGAGGGCTTTGGGAGTACCAAATCTAGAGCTCGAATGGTGGGCAGCGTATCGATCTTGGCTATGGCGTTCATCAAAAGTTGCTCATTGACACTGAAGACACCATCCTTTTGGCAAGTCTTGTAGTAGCCCTCCAGCACAAAGTAAAGAAAGGCCAAGATATTGTTCCTGCTCAACTGCACCATCCGACAGACCTTCTTTTTCGATATCACTGGCTGGATGCCCAAACTGGTCAGTGCCCTGTACATCTTGTCTCCAGTTCCCTGATCGAAATCATCCCGCAGGCTTTCCGCCATGGTGTACATCACAGTCTCCTGCTGCACCGATACACCCAAGTACCAACTGGCCAGGTCCAGTTTCTTCTTAAACTCGTCCAACTGGCTCTGAAAGCTCATGGCGATTTGATCTGCGCCGAAATTTAGTTACTTGTAAAATTTATTTTTCTAAAAAACTGTGTAGTGGATTTCAAAATATGGTGTGCTTGAAAAGGGTTGTGGTTGTGATGTGACAAATGTGAATACTAAAGTCAAGGGAACTTACGTTTTATCAATAATATAGGTTCTTAGCTTTTTAATTACCAAAACAACTGTTTTCAAAATTTACCTTTCGCTCGGTATAAAGTCTGTTGTGAAGTTTATGATTCAACACCGCTTTTGTTTAATATAAAACTTAAAGTTTGATCCTTAAAACCAAAAAAAAATTTTTTTTTTTTAAACTCTAAGAACGCCTTGAAATAAACAAATTTACAAAATTCAACTTTTTCGATGTTTTTTCAACAAAAATTAGTGTGTTCGTGGCCAGAATTTCCTAATTGATAAATGGTTTCTAGTCTGGTTTCAAATCGAACTCGGGAAGAGTTCTTTTCCATAGTGGTTTATTGACCATGAGTACAGTGAGCCAGTGGTCAATGTGTCAATATGGAATGTGTATGCCCCAACCACCGATGTCATGTCAAAAGAAATGCTTTCCTTCTGTGAAATTTTGCAACATGGCTGTAATGCCACAGGGCACACAACTTCCATATGCGCCGAGGGTCCGGGCTCAGTGTTGTCAACGATTTTGCTTGCGGAAAAGATCAGTTCCTCTGGGAGTTTTTCAGGATTTTGCCCCAACAAATCCTCAACAGCTACACCAGGATTCTCATCTAAGCTTGAATTTCCAGCCGCAACAGAACTACAATTATGGGGTGCAATCACCTAGGCAAGTTCCCCAAGAATTGGTTAACACATTTCCCCAGCAATCTCCTCAGCAATTTGGCCAGCTATGTCCTCAGCAATTTCCACAGCAATTAATACAGCAACCAGTTCAGCAATGTCCTCAGCAATGCCCTCAGCAATGTCCTGGGAAATGTTACATTCAACTGCCACTGCAAATCTGCAACCAGCCACCTCCGCAAATTTGCAATCCGCAAGTGCCGCCAAACTGTAACCAGCAATCTCCTGGAAATTGTTGCCACCCTCTTCAAATCTGTAACCAGCAATCTCCTGGAAATTGTTGCCAACCTTTTCAAAACTGTATTCAGAATAATTTTCCCACTGAAAATAGCACCTTTAAGGCCAGTACCCACGAAATAGGAGTTCAAACAGACGAGATGGAGTGCGGGGAAAAGAAGTTGCAGTCACCAGAACCAAAGTCACCCGAGAGCGAGGGCTCCGTCGAGGCTGCGATCATTGAGGTCACCGAAGTCACAAAGCAGGAGGTGGAGGTTACGCACCGCACCGGCAAAAAGGATATTTTCGTCAACGAGGTTGAGTCGACCACACTTTATCCGAAAGACGGGTCCAATCCCTTAACAGAGACTCAGACCCGTAACGTAATCCAAAAGGTATCCGGTTCGGGTACACACATCCTAGAGGATAATCTTGAGAAAAATATTACTTCAGAATCCAAAAATATAGATATACCTCAGCGAGCCATGCGAAAGTCAGAGATGGAGCCAATGGTTGAGTCTTTAAGGGCAGAACATTACGAATCAAAAGCAGATGACCCGGAAAAGAACGAGGTGGTCTACCACCACCATGCAACTAGTGAGCAAGGTTTTGAGACTCAAATTGAGAAGAAGCTCCTCGAAACCAAGGAGAAGAAGAAAAATTCCGTGACTTTGTCAACCCACTCACCAGTTACCCGCTCACCAGTTACCCGCTCACCAGTTACCCGCTCGCCAGTTACCCGCTTACCAGTTACCCGTTTACCAGTTACCCGCTCACCAGTGACTCGCTCACCAATTATCCGATCTCCCGTTACCCGATCACCAGTGACTCGCTCACCAATTACCCGCGCACCAGTGACTCGCTCACCAATTACCCGTTCACCAGTTACCCGTTCACCAATTGCCGGATCTTCAGGACCTGGAAAGGCTTTCGCATCGACTCCTAATGTCAGTCAAAAAAACTCTCAAAATAATTCGCTTTTTGAAAAGGAAAATAAAAAGAGGTAGGTTTCGCTTATATTTGAAAAGAATATGATATTGTGCTCCTTCTAAAGAGTAAACGTTTGATTATGTTAACGTGTAAAGAAAAACATCTAAATGTTTTGTTTATGATGAATAAGTTTTTAGATTCACTAACAATGAATGTACAACTAATATAAATGTATAGATTATAATTCATATCAAAATAACGATTTCGTGCCTGGAATTATTATAGTTTTAACGGGTAACAACTATATGATCTTTAATTTAAGCAGTTAACATTATTGAATGCTTATTCTTTAGAGGGAGCACCGTTTGTGATGAAAGTTTTCTTTTTAGCACATCTTTTGTTGTCTTAAGTAGAGCACAATCGGAGAGTGAAATGGAAAATAAAAAAAGACCAGGATCCTTGACGAGCAACAGGAGCACCGTACACGTGAGGGTAACCAACAGAAAGGAGGCTTCTGTGAAGGAGCCCAAAGCACCGCAAAAAATTACAGCGGTCTTCGAGAGCAGAGTTTCCGAGTTGATTCGGAGACCCGGGAATAAGATGCCAGAAGAGGAAGAATCAGAGGAGGAGGAACCAGAGGAGGAGGAACCAGAGGAGGTACCAGAGGAGGTTCCAGAGGAGGAACCAGAGAAGGAACCAGAGAAGGAATCAGAGAAGGAACCAGAGAAGGAACCAGAGAAGGAACCAGAGAAGGAACCAGAGAAGGAACCAGAGGAGAAGAAACCAGAAAAGAAAAAACTCGAGAAGAAACCACAAAAACCTAAGCCAAAAGAAGAAAAGAAGCAAGGTTATCCCTCGAATGATTTGGTCTGCAGATATCATAATCCTCCGAGGTGTAGACCAAGTTGTTGGAGGTTTGGATGTCCCTGCTCGAGGTTTTCATGCTGCAACCAATGTCCTCCGTGTCCTGCCAGCACAAGACAGTGCGATCCTATTTATGGTTTCGGTAGCAATTGTATGTGTTACTATTGTAGTTAAAGCAGTGAGAATAGTAAACAATAAATCAACAACTCAATTCATTTTCTAGGGATTTCGAAAATATTTCAATACACTTTACGTATAATAATAAATTTAAAACAGTGTTTTGGCAAATGTAATATTTTTACTTTTTAATTCCACTTAAGAGGAACGAAACCCAATAGATTGGAGCTTAAAAAGAAAAATGTTTCTAAGCCTAAACTTGAATATTCCCAATTGTTTTTGCCCATGGGTAAATTTATTTTGCTCAAAGCCTTGGTTTGAGCATTAGTTGCATGTCCCTTTTAGAGTTGGGCAAAAGTGAAAATCCTGGTAAAATAATTTGCGGTCAACCAAGCCACAGATCGTTAATGAAGCACTCTCCGAAATGGATTTGGGCCTTGAATTGCAGTTTATGGCCGACTTCGGATTGCAATCTCTTGTTAGCTCGACTGCCACAGGCTGGGCACTAGCTTTAATTGGGATTTCAATGACCGAATGATTATAATATTCAGCTGGCCGACTCAATTGCCTGCATAAGATGTTCATAGTCTAAACTGCTGAAAAGCATTTCAATAAGAGTGTATCAAGTAGATGTATACAGACATTGATTGTATTTCCATATTGTCCTTTTCAAGCAGGTGAATCTCTGCTGGCTTCCTTTCAGTTAGTTATTTCCTAAGTTTGTCATCGGGGGAAATTGAATATTTTATCTACGGATATTAAGTGCTGGGGATGCAGCCACAGTTTCAGACTCCTTTGCAAATGCCAGATAAAATGTTTGCCATTTAATTTTTATTTGACCCTTCGATTGGCTGGCTGAGGAATAATTTATCCATTTGCGCCCAAGTAAACAAAACAAAACTCAACAATGCCAACAGCAACAAAATCTCAGGCCTGGCCAACGGATGTTCACTTTTGGCCACTAAAAGTTCTCAATTCTACCTCTGCCTCGGGGCCGTCATTTTATTTCGTTTCATGTTTTATTCACCACTTCCGCCGGAAATAGACATACGTTAGTGTTGGTGTGGGTTTGTTCTGTGTGTGAGTGTGAGTGTGTATGTGCTGGCCTAAACATTTGTCTCGTTGGGCAAGCCGATGGATGGGTGGCATACATTTTTTCACAGGCAACTGGCATTTTCGGGCGGCCCAGCAAAGTAGAAACTGTTTTCGCAAACAAATCCCACATAAATGCTCAATTTATAACAGACCGGAAGTTAAACTTAATCAAGCGTACTTTTTGGCTTATTGTTTAGTTTTTCCCCCTCCTTCCCATATCATTCCCTTTCGTATTTACTTAACATATTTTATTGCGATACTTCTCTCTGTTTTCCCTCTATTTTGCCGGGGATTACACGGGGATTTTGTGTGCCCAAATGCTCCGGAATATCAACTCGATTCGCCGTGTGTGTCCCGAAATCCCCGCAGCTCCACTTGCCCCTGCCACTCGCAATGCAGCATTTATTCATACTCCAACTCTATTGTCGTTGGTTTATTCCGTTTCGTTCATTTCATATTTCGTTTGATAAATCTAGGGCATCAAACATGGATGGGCGGGCATTTTAATCTTCTGAATAGTTAAAGCGTTCGCAGGCATCAAACTGAAACGGTTTTACCAGGGATTTGCATAATCATTGCAGCAACTGTACTTTTTAAAGGATTGAAGTTATTTTTGAATCCCTTTGGTTTTAGTCCGCAGTTAACAATTGAGTAAAGTAAATTCACAAAAGTTTTAAAAAGATTCAGAGTTTCTATAAAGTTATTGTTCAATGAACTCCTAAAAATATTTATTCGTGGAGTCTAAGCCGGCAACAAAAATATATTTCTGATGTCAATTTTTCGGTCAATTTGTAATTTCACAACGTTTTACAGAAAACATTATAATTACAATACATGAATGCAGTTCATTAAATTATTCCTAAAACATTTGCATATTTCGCAACCGGAGCTCTAAAATCGAAATCAATTGTCTAACAATTAATACGGTGTAGAATTCGGTGGGCGGATGCTATGTATTGTATATTCGAAATGTCTGGTGGGCGTGTCTCCCCATTTTCCATTGTTTGTTTTCCTTCGCACGGGAAGGGATAAATGAGCGCCTGGGCAAACAAATGCGGGTTGAGAAGGTGGGTCAAAGTGGGTGAAGGTGGGTGAAGGTGGGCAAAGGTGGCTAAAGGCGAGTGGAGCTTCGTTTGCGGGTGCACTCTGCATTTGCTAATGCATTCGATAATTGCATGCTGTTGCTCCGCTCCTGCGGGATTCGAGTGGATGGTGTAGGGTCCTGTGTTCCCGGTCTCGAGCGGATTCAATTCCCTGCCATGTCGGCTCAATTAGGACCTTATTGTTGTTTTGCCAATATCAGAAGATACACTTAGAAAAGTTTCATTTGTCTGATACTTATAAAATGTTAGAAATAAATCTAATTAAAAACACAATATTTAAGGGGTTTGTTAGCAAAAAAACAATTTCAGACATCATTAAAATATATATTCCAGTTCCTTTCAATTAAAAAACATAAATGAGGCAAATAGTTGAAAAAAAATAATACTTTACGATGTACAATAAAATGTTTTAAGAACTCTGGGAATTATTTGTACAAAAAAATATTTATTTCATTTACTTTCCAAAATGAAACATTTCGTCCGCATATTTTGTTTCTGTTTTTTCCCAGTGAAATCTTACCAAATGCGGGGCTAATTGAACTGGCAAGGGTCTATCCTTCAATCCTCACTCTGTTTCTGAGAATTCAATGCCAAGCGATTCCATACATATGTATTCCGTTCAGTTTGAATATTCCGGCTATTCTTTTCACTAAATTCAAACCAAATTAAACAATGTAAAGATGAGGATACACAGATCGTTGATAAACAATTACTCCTGCTGTGGTCATGTGCTGCAGCGATTGATGCGAAAGTCCAGGCGGATCTTCTCGAGAAATAATCTAAGTGCTCCTCTTCAGGTGCGGAATAGTTTTCATGGTTCTCGAAAGGATGTAACTCAGGTTGAAGCCAATTCGGATAGTAAGCTATCAGACAAAAAGCTGGACATTGAGCTGGATTTTTTCGTGGCCAAGGACGAGGACCGTCTGATATCTTTGCCCTCGTTGATTTACTTCTACAGTCCACTTAGTCGTCTGCTCACCAAGCTGTCTCTGCTCCGGCTGAAGCTCCTGTGGGATTGGGATTTCTCAGAGCGCAACTTCATAGAGAATTCACGCCAGGCAGCTGCCGTTTTCACCGATTTCGTAAGGCGTCGCCGGAACAGCAATGTGGAGCGATGCAGTACGCCCATGGGATACAAGCAAATCAAGCACGATCTGCTGGACGAGCCACCTGACTGGAGGCTCGACATGATGCGATTCGAGAAGATCCACTTCCGGCGGGCCATTCCGCTGAAGGTGCAACTGCTGCGGCACTACGACCATCAATTTGCTTTTCTCGATGTGATTTTTGTGGCCCTGCGGCGATCCAATGATTTCCGATCCCCCGACGAACTTCGCGAGATGAGCAAGCTTCTGAGTAAATATGTGGATCCCACGCAATTGAAGGTTTCACATCCGCTGATCTTCGCCGAGGTTTTCATGCGCTTCCGACGAGATTATTCAGTGGGGGCCACGAAAATGGGAAATGTGCGGAACAACAATCGCTGCATGGGCCAGTGGTTGATTTCCACATACAAAGTGGTGCGATTCGACATCCTCAACGATCATCCGCTGTACGAAATTCCCCAGTTCGAGGAGTGGATGCCACCAGTAATGCCTCGCGTGGGTCGCACCGTTGAATAAAATGTGTTTCGCACTCAAGTCATTTTATTTACTCATTTACTTCGAGAAAAAAAATAGATTTTTTTAAATTTAAAGTTCTTAAAAATTTGTCTGATGAAAAGAATTGTGTACCAGTTTAGAAAATTAGAAGTTAAGATAAGAAATCTCTGAATTTTAATATTATGTTTTTTTGAAAAATCCCAATTAAATGTTATACAATCCTAATCTGTAGATTTTTATTTCACTTAATTATAATGTTGTGTTGCATTCTAGTATTGAATAGTTAAAAGTGAAAGTCAAATTTTAATTTTAAGTGATTCACATAAAACAGAAAATTTACTATGAATTGAAAAAAACTTTTTGGAAAGGAAAACATTTTTAATAGGACTACAGAAACACAGAAATAATATGTCGGCTGCACTAAACCAAAATGTTCAATAATTCAAAGCCCAGAAGAAAACGTACAAGTTAGTTTTTCTTAGAGAAACCTGATAGGGAACCTGCCATACTTTCCCACACAGAAATTGTCATAAATTAGTAATTAACATTTGTCCCCAAGTCGTTGGCAAGATTCATGGGCAAAGTAAGTCCGATATTGCTGTTTCTCAGTGGGAAATCTTTTGCGTCCAGGTTTTCGAGGAAAGGAAAGATGGAACCCAAGAGCAAGAGGAACCTACAGGTGCAACTCACTCACCTGGTCGCTTATCGGAACACGTTCCCCGGCAAGCCTGTCAATAAGTTGAATTTAGTATGCGCGTGAGTCCGAAAACCACAGATTGCAGGTTTCATTTTCGGGAAAGCGGGGAGGAAAAATGGAGGCAATGGATGGTGCTATTTGGGTAAAAAAGGGCTGGGAAAACCCCTTGCTCTGCTTCTTTGTGGCAATCTTGCAGTCCGACTTGGCGCGATATGCTCCGACACTTTGCGGGTGCGGCTTCTGTTGCTGCCACTTTGCCACTTGCCACTTCTCACTTGCCGCTGCACTCAAATTTAAAGCGTGCAATTTTATGCTTTTAATTTTCCGCTCAATAAAATCCTGTGGCTTTGGCTCGCACAAATTACACTGTTGGGAGCCATTGCCATCAGCTCCCCACTTCCCCTTCCCTCAGTCCTTTCATCATTACGATGCAATAATGAATTTCTGCAACATTTGCTGCGAGGTTATTGTCCCTTAATCAAAAGTGCTGGTTTTTCTTGGAAAATCTCTCTTGGGGCGCATTCACTGGAAGTTAATCCCCATTTAATGATTTACTAATTCCTTTACAAAATTCTTATGATTTTCTTTGTGTGGATAAAAGACTTAGCTGCTACGTTAATCGCATTCTGATTTAGAGAAAATTAGTAATCCGCTTTTCCAAGCAAAGACTTAAATATTTGAATTTTCACAGCACTTAATTTTGTTCTGATTCAATTTGCTAATTATTTAAGTTTACCCAACGTGTTTTCTTTCTTTCTTTAACTAGCAAAAAAAGTATTCTGACTGCCTTTTAGCTTAAAGACTTGAAATTATTTTCGAAATTGCTGTGTCACGTAAAGGGGCGAAAAACAAAGGCACCGAACCGCGTAGTTAAAAAGTTTCCCGACACAAACAAAACTTGCCAAGGATATGGGGCCACGAACTAAGGACACCCTATCATCCCGACTCAGTGAGGTGAGGACTCAAAGTCCTTGACCAAGCGGAAGTACTAGTCCGATTCCTTGGACTATATAGAGCACGGACTACTAGTGGAACGGATGGCTTGGCACTCACTTCAGGTCCAATTGGAGTAAAGCTCCTTACCCGAGCACTTGGTGGAGCAATGACAATTTTGTTTTCAACTCGGGACACTGACCGTAATGGGCAACAAAACAAATGACGGTGCCATTGACAGGACAGTTAAAAAGGAGCTGAGGCGATGGGAGATGGGAACTATATCCTGCGATGACAATGACTTTTTAAATTGTTTCATGAATGTGTCAGTTTTGGTCAGAAAGTTTACTAGCGTAGCGCAGATGCAGGAAAATAAATGGGAAATGATTCGCGTCAGGGAAAGAGAAAGAGAGAGACAGAGAGATAGAGAAAATGTCGTGGAAAATGGGATGGGGCTATACAGCGATCCACTTGGTTAACATCATCATTATCGTGAGCATGACGATTACACGATATCGCTACGTGATAATGAGCATGAACAGGCGAAATCAGACTTTATGACTTCATTTGCCACCCACACAGCCACCCATTCCCCCTCCCACACCCACCTTTGTATATGTACGAACAAGCAACTCCAATTGCAGGTGTGGCAACCACACCACAGACTCCCAGTTGCAACACCTGCGACTTCAAGTGAAAAACCACCATCAGAGCTTTCTACTTGGCTCTTTCCAAGCCAAATTAATACTTCTTGAACTCTCTTAATTAATCTATATATTATGAATTTAAAATCATTCACATAAAATCATCTTAGGATCATCAAAATACTATTTTCGTATATTTTAAATTTGCTGCTTTTATAAAATTAATTTTAACAAACAAGTTTAAAAAGGTGACGATGATTTTTAGACATATTTTAGTACTTAATATTTTTCATTATTCTTTCCTTTCTCATGAGTACTTCAAATTCTTTTTCCACCTCTGTGTTATAATCTGGTGATTGCATCTCTGGCCATCAGTATGCCGTGTCAGTTAACGGGACCCTGGGCTAAAGTGCATTTGATGCTGCCGCCATCAACCACCCACCACCCACCACCCAGATCTCCACCCACTAACCGTTGCCTATTAGGAAAGAGGGAGGCGTCCAAACATCGACATGCCGACACCGTTGCAGACACAATTAAATAGACATTCGCCGGTTTTGATAGCGCCATTTGGTGGGGTGGTTCCCAGGTGTTCCAAATTGGTGAACAGCAAAGGTGTTCGAATGGGTGGCGGTTGGACGGAAAAGCCATTTGTGTGCCCATGAAGAGAGCTACAAAAGTTTATGCATGACATTCCCGTGCAGTCAACTCGCTAAATCAAATTGTTTCTTATCCCTCGAAATCTGCAGCCATTTTTCATGGTTTCTTGCGGAAATTTCATTTGGAAAACTAATTCACAAGCCAGCTTTCTTCTAAAAGAACCCAAACATGCAACTCGAGTCAAATTCAAATTGATAAAGCACATTGAAATAAGAGAAGTAAACAATTTGGCATGCAAATTGGGGAAACATGCACTTCATGACTGACTGCACTGCGAGGGCAGTTCCTGTACATTAAGATAACACTTTGATATATGAATGAGATTATGGAAACTAAATTCAAGAGCTAAACAATCAGCAAATCACTACTTTTTCCTTGCCATTCAGTGTACATATTTTCTTTTTAATTTGAAATAATGATTTTATAACTAGCATTACATTTTTAAAAGTATTTACGCTTTCACCAAATATTTTACTGAGTGCTATTAAACACCCAACTGATTGTTTATATTACTGATTTAAAACATTAACTTTCAATAAGTAATTGATTGGTCTTAGATTGACTAAAAGAAAAGTTTTTATATGGCAACTTTATAATTACCCTCCTTCGACAATGGCTTTTTACACACATGTGTGCAGTGAGTATGAGGCACTTGCATTTTCCGAGGACCATCCAAAAGGGAATATCTCCCACTTTCTCCGCCCCCTTTTTACATTAATGCGTATGCATAAAACTTTTGCAGCACATGACTGGGGATAAGTATGGAAAATATTTAAAAGAAAAGTTTCGACTTGGAAAAATACTTGAACAGCTGACGACGATGACGACATTGGGGAGGAAAAAGTGAGGGTAAGTTGGCGCCAGAATCCCAGGCAAATAATTTCAAATTTCTCACTAAAAACATAGCAAACATTCAAGTTTTTTTTAATGCTATATTTAAGATTGCCACTAGTTTGAAACATTTTTAATGAGTACTTCAATGGCCGCCGAGGGAAAGGGGAAAGAAAATTATTTAACTTCACCCCAGTTGGTGATGAAAAATTACTTTCATTTTAATTAGGAACTGCATCAAAGAGCAAAGTAGAAGAGAGTGTGTATGCGAAAAGACGAAAAATTAAATTAAAAACACTTTTGTGCATTTAAGCAAATAAAGAGAGAGAGAGCGCGTCACACACACATGCTGGAAAAACTCATCTCCCAAGTGGGTGGTGTTGTGTGGGATTTTTCCTGCTCAGAGCGTTGTTTTTCCTTGTACGTGCCGAGCGGAGTTTTATTTTTTAATTAAGCTGTTTACATTTAGTCGTAATGTCCTTGCAGCGTCCCTTTATGGCAAGCGCGGTTTTTGTCGCCTTACCTGGCCACCCGAAACCCACCACCGCCCACTTTCACCTTTCTCTTGACCCACACCGCCCCCACTCACCCACAATTACAGTGGCCGCACCTTTGTGGGTCAAGTGAGCAGCCAAGTTCTTGCAGCTGTCGGCAGCACAATTAAAAATGTGCAAACTTGCATTATTAAAATAAAGAATTTCATTTCGCCTGACACTTTCCTAAGCGGTTTTTGGCCCGAAAAAGACAGGAAAATAAGCGAAAAACCTCGGAAAAAGCACTGCGCGTAACCAGTGCTGGAAAATTGCAGCAGCCAGCTGTTTGTTCCGCCGGATAAATGGCACAGCATTTTTTAAACTCTCCCGGCAATCTTCGCTCAATTTGATTAATGCCTAGGGGGCAAAATCCTGACCTTATTGCAGCTAAATGTTGAACATCCTTTGGCCAATAGGCAAAAACAAATATTAATTAAATTGAGCGGGCAAAGTCAATTAATTGCCACGTTTTTGGTTAATTAAAGTCATTGAAATATTTACACATGTGGGGAAACATCGACCTATCGGCATGACATACACAATTCAATTAATTAAAATGTTTTACCTCCGCAGGCACTTCGTCTTTTTTTTCCACGATAATTGGCCTCAGGTGCGACAGTTGGTAATTAAAGCAAAATATTCGATGCAATAAATAAAAAGCTTAAATTATGTAATAGTGGATATCGATAACACGTTGCCATGGCAATTTAGCGACCAACAACACTGGGAAGAATCGTTGGCGGAGCTTGAAAACTTTATCTTGTTTTTAAGTAGATCCTTATTATTGCAGAGTGAGTATAATCACGCCGATAAAATCGCCTTTGATTGCGATTCCTCACCTGATTGACAATACAATTAGGTGAAACAGGTGTTTTTCCCCTATTAGCTGCACTAAATCGCAGAGTCGAGGCACATGGTTTTCATTTTCACCTAAAGATTTCCTCAATTGAGGAGCATCTTGCTGCTTTGATTGGATGGAATGGAATTCCAGGAGGAGTTGACTCTCCTTTCCGGCAATCATCACAAATGGACATACCGGGCTAGATGAAAATCTGGCAAAAAGCCTTGGCCCAGAACTCGTAAGCCAGCAAACAAAGCGGCAACATGGCAGCCACATTAGCAACTCTTTGGTCTCTACCGCTCTTCGTTGTTTTTCGCTGAGATGGACGCGTGCTGCTGCCTGTTTGTTGGTAAACAACAATCAAAGTGCATTTCGCATTGTTCGGCGTTGGGAATGCAAAAGAATTGGGATTCAGCAGGAACAGAAAGGGACTTGTGCCACGTGTTTCAAACCTATTTGCACACATGCAAAATTGCAAGAGTTCGGCATCCAACAGATGGTCTCTATTGTCCTACCCAAATCTAATCGAAAAGATAGTATTTAATGCCAGAAATGTTAAGCTCCATAGCATATTCCGCTTTAAATTTTTTAAGCAGGAATTTTACAGACAAAATAAACGTTTTACGAGAAGTTTTGTCTGAAGGCCTCATCCCTTGAATTCCCAATATGTTTTTCTTTCAAAAGACACTGAAATATCTTTAGTTATTATTTAAAAACGTATTTTCTTTTTATGTTTTTTTTTAGATGCAGACTGGTTTTAACCGGGGACTGGAGGTCGAAAAAATAGTATCAGCTTTTAAAGATCGCAGTGGTGGCGTAATACTCGCCGTAAAGTTCAAGGACCAAACTGAATTAGAAGAAATCCCCTCGAACTTAGTCAGCAATCGAGTTCCCCACATGGTATTGGAGTACTACGCAAGCCACATAAAAGATAGAAAAATGATGCCGCGACAAAGGAGTCCAAGTCAGAAATAAACATTAATTAAATTCAATTATACAGCACTGGAAACGATGTGTTAGGTCCTTTATCGAGTGGGCGGAATTTTCTTTTCCCGCTACGCCGTTCAAATCGATCATGAAAATTTACGAGAGTGCCGGCCATAAAAGCCAAGCAGGGAAAACTAATTAGGCAGATATCAAATTCGGATTAATGGCTCTCAAAGTGCCATAAAATCCTGCGGCGCAACAATTAGGATGGGGAAGTTGTTGCGGATCTCCGGATATGTGAGAGTTGCCAATTGCCTTGGAATGCCGGCAAATATGTTGTATCAACCATAAAAGCCAGCTCGACTTCTTTCGGCTTTTTGGCCATGAAAACCAATGCAAAGTCGTTAAAATCTACAAGAAGTTCTGCCCAACAAGATGTCGATTCCAAACGAGATGATGAAAAAGTTTCAGACGCTGGCGAGTTTGTTTTACGACCGCATTTACTTTCCGTTTAAACAAAATTTTAATCTCGACCATAAATGAGCTGCCATTGCATTGCATTTGCCCTCATGTGTTGTTGGTCCAGCTAATGGACTCTGCTCTACTCTGGGCCAAAGTTTTTAATTTAATGCATCATCGTAAAAATTGTATACTTGCGACGGCTGGAGGCCGTAAAAATAGTTTGCTTCTCTGGTTTGTGTTTGACTTTGATTCTGCCGGATTGCCGAGCTGTCAGAGCAACTTGACCTAATAAGCAACTTGCGCGCAAAAGTTCCACAGCCACAGTTTTCAACTTTGCTTTCTTTAACGTGGTGCACAGAAAAATAATATTTATTTTATGGGGTTTCTTTATTAAAACAAGTTTACCGCAAAATTCTGTTAAATAATTTTTGTATGCATTATAATTTATGCTTTCTTTTAGGCTTTTAAGGTTGTAGCAATAAATTCTTTACATGACTGCTTTAAGCGTTGTTGCTAAACTTCTTCAAAAATGAATTATTAAATCAAAAACATTGATTGTTTCTCTGTATAAATCTTGGAATTGAAGTGAGTTCGACAAGCTAATCCGTTTTGCTGGCCTTTTCAATTAAAATAAATTAAATGCAAATGTCAAAAGTGTTTTTGGGTACTTCCCGCCCACTTTTCCCTCCCTCAATTAGGCGTTCTGTCAAAATTCGCGCTCGGCTTTGACAGGTCCGCGGGACAGATGATGAACTACAAATTGGACTTTGGCGGTTGGGTGGTTTAGAGGCTCGGTGGATCGGTGGATCCGGGGAGTGGGTGGTACATGATGCCCCATTCATCTCGCTGCATGGGAAACTTTCCAGGAATTCCGGGACCAAGTCTTGTTGGCCGCCTTAAGCAAGCTTAAAAGTTGCTGGCAACAAAGTTGAGGGCTGAGTTGGGCGGACAATAAGCAGTAAAACAACGGATTTGAAGGATTTTAAAACAATAATGCTAAGCGGCAAAATAAATAAAACGAAAGCAAAATAAAATATTCGTTGCCAAAGTCTCTAAAACGGTTTTTGTTTACGTGGCTTAGTTGTATTTTATTTGGGAATTCTTAAAAGAGTTTTTTTTTGTAATTCGAGAGCTTAAAAAAAACTCTTCCAAAGATTCGAAAAATATTCTAAGGCTTGTCAACAAGGTGGTTTATTTTTTATTTCACAAGAAAGTTGAGTAAGTGGATTGAGAGCAAAGTTATTCTTTGTTTATTATTTACTAAGTAACTCTGTAAGAAAAAAGACTGATTATAGGTACTTAATATCTTTAAAAAGTTCTGATTTCATAGTGCATTTAACTTATAGTGTTCTGTTTACTATTGAATGAATTATTTACTTCAATTTACGTGAAAGCATAACTTTAAAAGAAAGGAGATAATTAAGTAATAAATATGTAACTTTATTTTTCTAATCTAAAATCTTAAAACATTATTTCTTGGATGTCATACTATTAAATGTTACTTTTTACTCTCCATCACTGTAATAATTCGCAGACGGAAAGCTCGAGTTTGCCCAAATCTCTTACTCGCTCTTGACTTGGTGTCATCTTAGTCATTAAAACAGGTTCAGACTAAGTAATTTGCCGCCACTTCAGGCTAAAAGCGAAAAATGGAGAAGGAAGGGAATGGGTAGATACTTCCACGCTGTTGCTTTATTTAGTTGCCCTCTAATAAACTGGCAGCGGAAATTTTTAACAAGTTGTTGCCAGTGCACAAAACTGGGCTGTAATTAACGCAGGACAGATGCCGCGAAGGGGGGACAAATGGAAGGAGGAGCTGGTGGAGTTGCATCGTCTGGGATAGACGAGATTTTGCATATCAGATTGCCGTCCCGGCTCCACTTTGGCCCTGCCTTGTGATTTAATAATCAGCGCTGGCAGTCAAAACTATCCGGCAAGCTAAAATGAAGAGGAAATGTTCGCAGCAGAAGTCGGTTGTTAAAATACGCTAGGTGTAAAGTAACACATTCCAAATAGAAAATCAAAACCAAATTTTAATAGGTTCTAACTTCTGTTGGGTTGGTTACTAATAAAAATACTTGATACTAAACAAGACGTGTTTCTTTATAAAGAACTGGCAAATATTTGTACCTATAAACACATATAAACACATTTGAAAAATTTCTTATGATGTTACAATACTTATCCTCTGACTTTTATGATCACATCTTATTTATTAGCAGAATAGTAAAACTCAGATGTACTGTATACTACCTTTTCCTCAGAATAAATTTATAATTTGTCATGATTTATTTATTTGCACTCAAAGTGGTTTGAATAACAACCGCATTACTTCAGACAGAGTATGACAGTTGTAGGTGTTGTACGTAAATTAACGACTTAGCCAGCTCCGCTCTTTTTTCCCTCGCTTTTTCCACTGCTGCCTGCCGTTCTCTGATTTTCTCCCGCCCCCTCGAAATTTCCATCAGAAGGGCAGAGGGAATGCAAACTGCAATCGAAACTGCGCGTGCAAAAATGAAATGTGCCAATGTGGCGGATGGGTGATGCCCAAAGCGGAATGGGGAATGCGGAGTTGGGGGAATCGGAAGACTGAGATGGGGAGTGCGGAGCCCAAGTCCCCGGCAATTTGCATAAATTTAGATCAGTGACACATGGCGTCCGCTAATGGAGGCAGCGGGAGATGGAAAAACTGCGGAGACGACCAGCGGGTGGGAGTGACATATTTCAGGGAACCCCCTACTCGACCCGCGACTCAAACAGTTTAGCAAACATTTCCAATTGGCGTTTAATTAGCGGCTAATCCGTTTGCCACTGCCTGCGAGTGGGCGTGGTCAATGCGAAAACACCTTTCATTCCTCATCCGTTTTTCGGCCGATTTTCGCATCTCTGCAGGTGGCGATGATGTACCGAGCAGTCCAATTAAAATGTCGTGTATCTTTGCGGTGGCGCCACCGTAGGTCCACTGGACTCCACTTCGGTGGCCCACTGGACCACCAACGGCGACTCTCACCCACTAACCATGAAATGCCAACGGAATTGGACACTGGCCTTGCCACTGCTGATTACCAATCGGAGCGAAACTGCCAACCGGCAAAGTTTGATGGGAACTTAGTTTGCGATCTCTCGTCACTCTTAATTGTAAGTAAACTCAACTTGACCCACATTCGGTCAATCAAAACAACATTTGAATAGTAAAAGAGGAATACAAATACAAAGGACCTTCAGTACATGATACAAAAAACAGGCAAAACTTAATCAGTTTGTCTTAACCTTCTTGAACTAGTGTAATTCTTGATAATTTCATTTTTTGTAGTGGTTAAGTAATCAGTTAATAATTAGGCATTTTATCTTAAAATGGAAAAATAAATTCTAAACATGTTGAAGATCCCTTAGAGATTTAAGTTTTAGTTTGTTTTATTTTTAGTTCGTTTTATTTACCTCATTACACATACAATTTTTAAGCACCACACACATTTTTTGATTTGAAGACATGGCTTTGGAGGCCATTTGCGGTATGAATCGAAAGCCCTATATGCGACGCTTTGATGACTTGCAATCGGATTGGCAAAAACAGCAAATTCGAGAGGCCACCAGTAATTTTGAGAATCCCTATAGACTGATGGCTCCACCCTATGAAGAGGTAAACAGCAATACCTAATAATAATAAAAGTCCTTTTAAAACCAATATCTTTCTATGCAGCCAGCGGAAAATCTGCCAAAGATCCTGGCTCATTGTGAAGTTAAAATGGAGTTTGATCATGGCACCACCACTTTGGGTTTCAAGTACCAAGGAGGAGTGATTTTGTGCGCGGATTCGAGAGCCACATCTGGCCAATACATTGGTTCCCAGACGATGAAGAAAATAGTGGAGTTGAACGACTATATGTTGGGAACTTTGGCAGGTGGAGCTGCCGATTGTGTCTACTGGGATCGAGTTTTGGCCAAGGAGTGCAGGTTGCACAGACTTCGTTATAGGAAACGCATGACTGTGGATACTGCTGCCCGGATTATTTGCAACATCTCCACGGAGTACAAAGGCATGGGTCTGGTGATGGGAATGATGTTGGCTGGTTTCGACGACGAGGGTCCCAAATTAATTTACGTGGATTCGGAAGGCATGAGGTCACATGGGAAAGTCTTCTCAGTTGGCAGTGGTTCTCCTTATGCCCTCGGGGTCTTGGACACCGGATACCGTCATAATCTCACCGATCAGGAAGCCTATGATTTGGCCAGACGAGCGATTTACCATGCCACCAGTAAGGATGCTTATTCAGGAGGTATCGTTCGTCTTTACCACATTAATTCGGAGGGTTGGAAAAATATATCTAATACTGATTGTGCCGATCTGCATGATTTGTATTGTGAAGCGGATAACAAGAATTGTCCCCATAATGGCGAAGAAACTAATAAGGACATGCCCAGCACAAGTGGATGGACGAAGAGATACATTACCGATGACAATGTACAGACAAAGCTAGCAGCGGTATAAAAATTGCAACAATAAAAGTTTAAATTATGTAGAAGTCATAACTCATTCGGATATATCAAATTTTGTATAAGTAATATTGTATAAGAAACCTTTTGCGATTGGAATATTTATTCAAAATATGTATTAAATATTTATACGTATCATGAAAAAGTTTTAATAAGAGTTATAATTATTCCATTTATTCTAATCCTCTTCACTTGTAAAATAAAAGTTTTCCCCGCTTATATAAAAAAAAACAAAACTATGTTATTTTTTTATAACATTCTGAGCACATTGCTCCTATCTACAAATTTCTCCACACCCTAAACTCCTCATCCTTCCTTCACTGCTGGAAATATACGAGCAACTTTCGCTCGCCAAACGAACTTATTCTATAAATCAAAATAATAACTTCTAAGCTCCGAATGACTTCCCCTAAATGGGCGTGCCGCACACAAAATACGGCCAACGAAATGTTCTGCGAAATATTCTACGAAATGTTGCATTCTGTGTCTTTGGGTTGTCATCAACAAATGTTGCAGATGCCACTGCCTGGAGACTCCAAATGGAGAATCTGTTTTCCAACCCTCCCATCCCAACCCATTCCATCCGGAGAAGCGCAACCGCAGACATTAGCAGGCGTAGGTCATCCACTCCCTTGCCCCACTGGGTGGCGCCACCACCCCCCACCACCATATTCCTCGGCTGCTAAGGCGCTCTGAGCATGCGATAAATTTAATAAATTACAAACCAAATCCGCAAATTTGTTGAATTTTAAAAATAAAAAGCGAAAGACACCAAATGACTACACGCAAGAAAATAAAATATTTAAATGTTAAATATTCGTTCTAAATTTGTTTTTCTTGTGGGGTATGATTGAAAAGTTACTGCACATTTAATTGTTTATTATTTCATATATATTTTAATGTTATATTTTTAAATTTACACTTTTGTGTTTAAAAATATTTAAGAACCTTTTTTTAATTTTTGATTTGGTTTTACATTTTTTAGCACATAAAGAATCTTATATTTTTGATTGCTTATTAACAATTAAATTATTTTTACATGTCTAAGAAATATTAAATAAGCAAAATAATTAAACAATTTCGGTTTATAACTTAATTTATTAATGTCTTTTATTTTCACCAATTTTTGTTTAGTGTGTGACGAGTTGGTGGCAACATTTGCACGGCGTTTTGGGGCACATGTGAGTTGCAGTACGTGTGTGGAACAGCGGCGGCAGAAGCAGAAGCAGCAGCAGCGGCTCAGCGGGAAGTGGGGAGGGAAAAAGGAGGCGGAGGAACATCAGGGCAGAAGGCGTTTTGTGGCAAAAAGTTTTACTGTAAATTGCTTTTAATCTAATGAACGTCGCCAGCAGGAGCATCCAGGAAAATGAGCAGCAGGAGGAGGGAAACGGGAGGGGATGGAGCAACTTGGGTAACCCCCAAGTCCCCGAGAGTCATTTTTCCTCTGTGGTGTCATTAGAAAATTACTTAAAGCCAAAGTCGTGTGGCCCAAGTTCGGAGAATCCTCATTGCGGGTAAGCGCAGGAAAAGTGGCGGAAAAAATGTTCCACTATGGGTTAATGGGTCAAAACTATTTACTTGCAGTAAATGAGTATAAATTATATTTTGTAGTGGCTTCTGAAGTGTTAACGCTGTAAAGTGGCTTCATAGAAATTTTGAAAACCACAATTCAATGTACAAACATTTTGTTAAATATACACGAAGCTGTGCTTAAACTTAAACACATAAGCTCCTAAAAATAAATGCTTTATGGTAAAAAAAATGTAGGACTAGAAAGTAGGGATAAATGAAAATTTTGTAAATATACAAATACAAAAAAAGCTTAAAATTAAACTTTATTTTATTTTAAATGTGTACACAATAAAATTGAAAAATTTATAGACATTTTGTCAAAGTTTTTATTTTAACTTACAGAATCCAATTTACGCCCTGATTTCAATTGATATTGTTACATCTTTTTTGCGGATAAATCAACTTTGATATTAGTCAAGTTCTATTTGCGTGAATTAAATAGTTACAAATTAGATTTAAGTTCGCTGTCCGAAAATTAACATAAAACAACAAAGTGCATGTTGGCACAACAGCGGCAACATATTCAATGGCAGACTAATTGCGGCTATCATTTTCCAACAAATTACCTAGTTCCCTTCTCCATTTCAAAAATCCCCCTGCCTTCAGTTAATATGGCATAAAAAGCTTGTCCAAAAAAAAAAAAACAACAACAACAACCATAATTTAAATTAATTTGCAAGCCAACAAGAGCAGAAGCAACAACAAGTTGCAACACCTGCAATGTTGCTGCTGCACTCGCTCGTTGTCGTTGCAGTTTTTGTTGCTGTTTTGTTGCTGTTGCTGCCATTCCACTTTTGTCAACGAGCTCAAATTCAATGAAATTTCACACTTTGTCGTTAAAAGCGCGCCGCTTGGAAAAGGTGGAAAAGCGGTGGAAAAGGGGGTGGGAGGGGAGAAGCGAAAGGTGGCAGCGTTAACTGTCAGGCATAAGGATGCAAATATGCAAATGGATTTTGCCATGGGATGGAAGAGGTGCAGGAGGTAGATGCAACCGAAGCCGGCGCAGATCGTAAGAGTCTGCCAGAGTGTTTGACAAGCAAGCGTGACTGTTTTTGGTGGGTGGGGATCCAAAAGGGGGCGTGGCAGGGGGGAGTGGGGTAGTGGTGTTGCCTGCTAGTGATGATGATGTTGCCGCTGTCACAGGCCGAGTCTGCAGCAGCAACTCTTGGCCAAGGAATCGCTCGGGGGGCAGATAGAGAGAGAAAGAGAGGGACAGAAGAGAGAGAGAGAGAGAGCGAGATGGCTGCTCGTGAGACAGCGGATGTGGCAGCAATGCCTCGTTTGGCAGTTTCATTAACCCACCGAGGCGGTGGAACGCAGACGGAGGTTGGAAAGGCAACACCAAGACCCACTGCAACTGCAACAAGAACAGCAGCAGCGGCAAATGCAAATGCAACAGCAACATCATCACCCATATTAGGAGCAGCAGTAACAACAATAACTAGACACGGGAAAAAAATATATAAACAGATATTGACAGTAATAACTTAGGATTTAATATATATACGTTTTTGAATAATTATTTCCAAATATTTAAATGCTGTTCCAAAGATGAGGGAATAGGGATTTTAAACGCTTTAATATTATATATTATATTATACATATATGTAAAATGTTAATAACAATACAAAGAATACCTATACCGCTTTTAAACTTTTATCGTTGGGATTTACACTTAAGAAGATGCCAAATAAGGCGGGAAGTTTTATTCGAGAAGCTTTTATATTAGGTTTTAACAACGTATTCTAATTACCCTTAACATTTGTTAACATGTTATCATGTTAATTGATAATTACAAAATGATATTGCAACTGAATTGTTAAATAATATTTATAGTTTAAAATTGGTAAAAGTTCAATTCTGCAGAAAATTGTTCAGTGTAACAGCGGCAACATCTTCCCCGCCGGCAGCGTCAAATGCACTTCCAATTTATCAGCTCTGGGCTGCCAGTTTCCTTGCCTTCTCTACCCGCCTAAAACCCCCTTTCGGCGGCCATGCCCCTTGTGCAACATGAGGCAACATCAAAGTGCAGATGTTGTTGATGCTGCCGCTGCTGTTGCTGTTGTCGCTGTCTGCATTGCTGTTGCTGTTGCTGTTGTTGCTGCTGCTTCTGCCCGATGTTGCTGCTAGATGTTGCCGTTGTGTGTTCTCCATTTATTGCTACTTTGGCGGCAACTGCACATTAGTCGCATATCTGTTGAAATTCACGGCAATTAGTTGCCGGCCCAATGAAAAATGCCATTATGGAAATCAGCTATCATAGCCAGTTAATTATAGACCAGGGAAATCGGTTCAATTACTGTACATCATTGAAATTAAAAAAGGCAAGAAAGCGGATATGTTGTCAGCCAGATAAATTTACTACCATTTTTAACCAGTTTAATCTGTTAAAGGAAGATTTCTTATTTACATGATTTTTTAATTTACTGAATGTGATACGACCTTTACTGATTAAATTTGTGAAAGGATTGATGGATGGGCTTTTATTGATTGATTTTTATATCATAAAAATGTCAACATGTTAAGTTACACAAGTACATCACAATTATGTTTAAAATGGGTATATATTAACTGGCTTGAGTGCCCTTATGATAAGAATCAACTTATCTTCTTTTATTCATTGATTTTCCATCAATAATCTTCTCAATTTCAAATCCCGTTTCGAGGGCTACAAGTGCCGGCAGTTAAACTGTGTCACAGTTATATCATTATTCGCTTATTCCTCCGGAGACAAAAAGATTCAACCCAGGTTTCCCCTTTTCACCATCACTTTCCATTCTTTTTTCCCGGCAATTGCATTTTATGTAGCTACAACGGCTCATTGCAGGCATTTTTGCGCAAATGCTTGTGATTGCAATGAATAATATTTTTAATGCAAATAACCAGAGGACAACAGTTGGGGAAACTAGAGGGGTTTTTGGTGGAAGGTGGAGGGAAATGACAGTCGCGTTGACAGGCAGCAAGAATGGCAATGAGAAGGACGACAACTGTGAAAGGACTTCAGAAAGAGAGAGCTCTGCGAAGTAAGCTGTTCTTTGGGTTCCTACAATCCCCTATCACCCACAACCCACCACCCACCACCCACCTTCCCTCCTCCAATTTTCCCCATCTCGCGACACATTTCATTCATTTTCTTTTCAATTTCAATTCCCGTCAAGATTGCAGCTCCTCTCTTCGCAAGTCGTTCCCACCCTTTGTTACCCCTTTTCGCCATCAGCGTCATCATGCTTGCAGTGAAAATCATCCCATCGTCCGGTAATGAAATTTTACTCATTGTTTCCCAGTTTGGTACTAGCAATTTGCCAAGGAGATGTTCCTAAAAGTAACAAAAATCTGGGAAGGATAGTTTTAGATCATGTTTCACAAAATAAAATACATTTTTTGCTACATTAAAATTTACAACATGATAAGATATGGTTTTAGAAATTCTTTAAATTTAAGTATTATATTGACAAATGCCTGAGTTAAGCAGTAAATTCTCGATTGCTTAGTCTGGCAAAAAGCTAGAATTATATACATTTTTTTTTTGCTCTAGTGTTTTTCAGTTTTGGTTGAAACCAGAACAACCTCTGAAATGCTCCTACTTCTGCTCAATGGAAATGCTCGTTCATATCTTTTATGTTCATCGGCTTGTCAGCATTGTCATCGTCAACGTCGCCTCGTTGCTTTTCCATCATTATTATCATCATCTGATATTCATTACAGTTACAACATAGGAAAATCGGAAGGCGAAGTGTGGGGGAAACTGCACCTTATTATTATTCATAGCAAGTTATTTGTTATCTGTGCCGAGTTGCTCTCATTGTTTCTCCTTTTTTGGGTATTTAATGAAATTGCACTTCTACATGTCTCGCATTCTATGTAAATTTGGGTCACATCCATCACCTTCCCAACCTCCGTTTCTTATAATCACTGCACACAGACACGTAGAATGCGTTTATGTATTTTATCTTCCAAAACATTGACTACATAACCTAATTTGCAGAGTTTTCCAACTCCTGCCACCCCTTTTAAGCGAGCCATGCCTAATTTATGCAAAAATCGACCCTGGCAAAGGCAACTGGCCATATTTTAGCTTTTCAGCCCAGACACAAACAGCCAAATTCCAGCCAACAAAACTATATATGTGCTCGGTCATATATCTATATGTAATAACTGGCAAACTGGCATATTGTATGTAAATACAACAATGAATAGATTTTTGCCATAGGCAAGGCCATCCCCCTTCGCTCCACGGTTCATTCAATTAGAAAGACATTAAGTTATAATGGAAATTATGGCTCCTGATGAAGCGGCTGGGGAAATATCAACAATGGAAAGCATGAAATATAATCAGGTTTAAAGGCTGCACAACTAACATTAATTGGGAACGAAATTGTGGGCAGGCAGCTAAATTATTTGGTAAAATACGCAAATATAATTCCCAGGGATTTCGGAGAGCGTAAATGTGATTTAAAGCTTTAACATCAGAAATTTAAATAGATTTGAGGTACTTACTTTATTTATTTGATTTCTCAAAGGAAAGGAAACAAATAAAATATTGCCCAGTAATCGAGGCAAATGATTGCTGTTAAGTTTTTAATTTGCAATTAAATTCACCAAGAAAACGATTCGTTGAAGCGTTTTCCAATAAAATTCCTTAAGTGCAATTAATTTCCGGACACAAAATAAATGATTGCAGCAGACCGTAGGCATTTCTAGGCCTTTGCCAAAAATATGAAAGTAATTAAACAAGAATGTAGGGCTTTTTGTGTTCAAGGATATGTGAGATTCGCTTGAGTGTTGGCTGCAAAATATATTTGAGGGAAAAGCCACTAGAGTGCCAGATGAAAGACGACAGTTGCAGTAGCTCAAGGTTACATACGACTGCGAGATGGCTGGAAAGCTCTTGGGATCTGACCAGGTTTAGTTTAATTGAATGTCAACCTGATAGGCAGGCACGCGGCAGCTGCTCTTTCCCCTCCCAAAAATATCCTTGAATTTGCCTGCGCGTGTGGGTTTTTGCCTGATCTCCCCAGTGAAATATTTATAGAGCCTGTGTGCACACATATCGAACGGGAAATGAATGGAAGCACTTCAATGAAATTTATGTAATACAAAGGCAAAATATATTGTTACATTCACTACAGGGCAGTGCTCATGGTGAGGGGTGAAAAGTGCGGGGTGTCAGGGGACGGAAAAAGGCAGACATGCAAAGCATGTGGGAAATATAATAAATATCTATTTTTACCCGGGCGTTCTTCATTTACAAATGGTAAAATTTGTTAAAGCAAACACTATTTTTTGTTTAACAAAAATGTACAATATAAAGAGACTACATCATTGTAAATCATGTGAAGCTAAATATTTAAAAAATAAAAACTTCAAATTTTTCATACAGAAACTGTTCCCTGAATCATTGGCAAAATAAATTTAATTATTGTTATTATTATAAATGTAGGGTTGTTATTAAAAGACAATTTTTGTGAAAAGAAAAGCACACGTTTTTTGTTGACTATAAAAATCATTGATATATTTAAACATTGAAAAACGAAAAATTTCAGAAATAAATAATCCTAATATATATAGTTTGAATATGTGTTAAAGGAGATACAAATTCAGATTTTTTTCTTATCCAAGGTATCCTTTATTCGAGCACAGCTTTTTCCGGAACTAAACTCACACACCGAACCGATTCTCATCTGGCTGCTCATTTGCCAGGGCTAAAGCAGCGACATGCGATACGAGCACGCTCCACACTTTCCCCAGGGATGGAGTCTGTGGTTCGAGTGGATGTGTGGAGCAGGTAAACTGCAACAAATTTCATACTATTGAGTGGTTTTTGAGTGCATTTGAAATAAATGTTATCAATGAAGTTGCATACTTTATGGGCGCAATCCCCGACACCAGCCTCCCCCATCGACCCATCGCCCCATCGACCATGTGCAGCTCCAACTGAAGCCCCGACCCCAAGCTCAACCTCAAAGCCCGGCCAAAGTCCCCAGGGAAATGGAATGAGTATAGTAGTGGAGAAGGGGGATGGGGATGGGAAACCCCAGCCTGGGCCATATAAAATGAAACGTTTTTAAGTTAAGTGCAGTCAAGAGAATCGACCGACTGACTGAATGACTGACTAACTGAGTGACTGAGCGGGTGTTTCAATTTGTTTGATGGAAAACCAATTGTGGACAAGAGCTCGTCGAATTCAAGCTCAAAATCCTCGTCGTACATCTCGAAATTCATTTAAAAGCTGGTCCATTAAAGCGACGACTTTCCCCAGTGGCAGTTGCATTTTTCCCAATTTCCGATACGGACTTTGCCGATTGATTAAAGTTGGGGTTTTAATTAAAACAAAAAGGCACACAAAAACAAAAAAAAAAAGCGGAGAGGGAACCGAACATCAAGTGAGCTTCGAGCTGCACTTTTTATGCATCATTCCGAAAAGCATCGAATAAATCACAAAAGCGAGCTAAATGCCCAGAAAAAATCTTCTCCGGGCCAAGTTGGTGTGAAAACATTTTGCTGGCAACAAAACAAAAAGTGGGGTAAATCCGAACCAAAGGCCGAAATCGAAAACAAAAATAAAAGCAAAAGCAATAGCAAAAGCAAAAAACTATACAACCGGCAAAAGCCCAACCAAAACCAGAATCCGGCTGACTGCAAGCCACTCCGTTTCTCCCAAAAACCCAATCCCCGATCCCCAAACCCCAAACCCCAAAACCCCATCCCCTTTTACCAACGAATCCACTCTCGGTTCCATTTCGATGGTACACTTTTGTGTGTTGATTGAAATGCCGTTTCATTTTTGATGTTTCGTCCTTTGTTGCCGTTTTATCCTATTTTTATTTATCGATTCCAGGCTGGCCTGTCCTCTGTTTATAAATAAATGTTTCAATTTTACCATAAAAAATGCGAGTAAAATGCAAATTCCTTTTCTCCGGCTGCTCTTTTTTTTTTGTTTTGTTCTGTTAGCCTGGAAAATGAAAATTTCAGAGTTGAAAATGAAAGAGAAAAGCAAAATCCATGGTATTTTCCAGCTGATTCGGGAGACGAAACAGATTGGGCCGTCATGTCACTATTTAATTTTAAACGCACACTCGATTGTGATAACTGATGCTCTGTGATTTATTCTTTGCCTAACACAAAGCTATTTATGACACCTGAGCTCTGTTTATTTGAAAAGAACACTTTTGATTTTGCAGCTTCAAACAAAGTAACTAAACGAAATGACTTATCAAAGAGGAAGCTTTTTGTTAATTCCAATCCTAATCGTAGAATTGCTATCTATGGAGTAGAAAAAACTCGAATTATTTAGTTCTCAGCTCACTTAAATCCGCAGAGAACTCAATTAACTTGGCCTTAAGGTGTCCCACAAGTTTTTGCAGCTTCACCCGCAGCGATCCAGCTTAATTGAAGGCAATTATGCGCTTATCAAGCCCCGCCTGCTGAACCATGGAATGCCCATACGATTGTTCCTATCACTCGGCCATAATTAAAATGTTTTCTGCCAGGAACTGCAAAAAGTTGCCCAACCACAGCGGCAAACACAGCGCATGAATAAGCGCCGCCAAAGTGAGGCCAATTAAGAGGAGCCAGTCGAATCCGTGAGATGCGGACGACAGCCGACTCTGAACTGGAGAACTGGCAAGCTGGCAAGCTGGCAAGCTGGCGAACTGGAGAGGTGGACAACTGGACTCCACCTGTGGCTGCTGGAAAAAAGCATTAAATCAATTCCGTTGTCAGCTCGCGCAATCCTCAAACGTGGCTATACATACATATATAACAAAAAAAAAGGAAGGAAAGAAAAAAAGAAAACAAGTCCAGATGGATCGCATGCATCGTTGGCCACAACTAGACGCTTTGTCCGTGGGTCCCTCACTCCCGATTTTAGCGATTCCAGCAATTTAACACACAGCGATACGCCAAGAAATTTCTGCGATTCGCCCGACAATGAGAAACGCGTCGAGGTTACGCTCAATCAATCTCGACCGGCGACAAATGTCCGTCCGCATTTCGGGCTCCTCTTCTGGACAGCGGGGAATAGGCCCAAAAACAGAGGTGGACAAAAACAGAGGAGAAGGTGTCTCCTGTTCACGTGCCTGCCTCATCGCTTATGGGCTCATTCATTTCATTTAGCAGCCCATGATTTATTCATGATAATTACTTCATTGGCTTAATTAACTGTTGACTTCTTGCGGGCACATTTAAGTTGAGCGGAAACGGAAGCCCCATTTAAAAAGTCAAAGGGCATTTAAATAGTAAATATTATTTCGTAATACTTAAAATAAAAGTATTTTGAGCCCAAGTTATAAGAAAATCATAAATATCTTACAGCAGTTTTATTTGCTCATATTTTTTTGCGTCATGTGTCAATACTCTTCAATGCTTTGATTTGCAAAATCCTGGACTTCTACTTTACCAGTAGGCTTCTATCGCTTTGAGGTAGCCGACTTGAATTATACTTTCGATTTCATCCGTTTTTTTTTAGAGGTTATTCAGTTTTTAACAGCATCCTGAGCATCATCCAATTTCAATGTATTACCAAAAGCCTTTGATAATTGGGTGACCTTTGTGTTTACTTCAGGCAACATAACACTTTGAATCTGCGGCTCTTGCAACTCCTGCTTTTCCGTAGCCTCAGAAGTGATTATTGGGTACATGGAAATTTGCACACCATCCTTGCCCCTGATTTTATAAAGAGGAACCTCTTCCGGTGGCACGTAACCATCTCGGATGCGACGAGCCTTCCGCCAGGACCCATCTGGTCGTCTGGAAGCCGGAATGATCTTGCCCTCGATGGTCTTTATTTTTGAGCCCATCTTAGTAAAGATTTTAGAGTAATTCAGCTGTGACAAATTTATTTTCGGGTAAACTATTTTTAATGTGACCAGATACAAAATTCAGGAGCTTAGGCAAGATTATGTCAATGTTTAAATTTAATACTCTTAAAATGTAGGAAAACAATAATCAAGTAAAATCATAAAGGTTACTAGGTTAGGATAAGGAAAAGAAATATGAGAGTGAACAATACATTTTTGTTTTGAATAACTTTATGAAGTTATAAGACATATAAATTTACTTTAAAAGTAAGAAATAGATACCGGAAACTATACCTACATTTTAAGAGCCCATCTATTCTCGATTGAACAATTAGTATTCTTGTTGCTCTCTTTTAAGTTAGCACATTTCTTGGCACTTCACTCAGTGTTCTCCATCAGCAGTGATTAGCTCTTTTATTAACAGCTCCGTGGGTCCAGTCTCTAGAGAATCCCTCTATCTTTCCCTTTCCCCTTTCCCAAAGTCCCTTCTTCACTTTTGCACTCATCTCCGCGTTCATTTCCGTCTTCGCTAATTCGCCAAAGAAAGTAATTAAGTGAACTTTTTTTTCTGCAGTTCCGATTTGATTTTCATCCAAGGGAACTCGGCAACAACGACACACAGACATCATTCACAATTTTAGCACATCATTCGCATTGACTCAACTGACTATCATCTAATTAGGATACCATTAGTTGGCTCCCCCTTTTGCAGAATTACCTGGCTTTCATCCCCGCCGACTCCGCCGTCTCATTGTTTTAGCCGCTTTGGCTGCTGCAGCTTCGCCTGTCTAATTAAAACTCGTTTAGCAACAATTTCAATTGCGTTTCAAGAACCTGTTGCCAAGACTCCCCGTTGAAATAATCCACCTAACTTTCCCCATCCTCATATCGCATTTTATACCCTTTGCAGAAGGTATAACTCATTTCATGTTATTTTCACTATGTTGTTTATACGTTATTTCAAGGTGTTTAGAAAAGCTTAATAACGAAAAGTATTGTTTATTTATTCAAAACATTTTTTATAAGTTTTTATTATATATAAATAAATAAGTATGGATTGCAGTTTTTTTTTTAAATTGTTTGTTAGTCAAATGGATTTATAGATTTTGATGTGTAACAAAAATATGTAAATTTTTTGTTAGTTTGGCCAATTTAAAATATTATTTCACCATTGTTGATATCAACGAATATAAAAAAGAGTACAAAACATTTGTCCTGATAATCCTAGCCTAAATTTTAATTTTTTTCCCGTGCAGCGTAACAAGGTTTCCATTTCCATTTTATTTCTTTCTCCGCTGCTTTTTGCTGATTGTGTAATTTTAATGTAATTCGCTTTTATTGTTTTTTATTCGTCTCTCTCCGTCTTTGACGCCGTCTCTGTCTCCGTCTCTTTCTCCGGCTCTGTCTCCGTCTCTTTCTTTTTCTCGGCTCGCTTTGGTCGGTGTGTCTGACATTAATTGCAAGTGCAAAAAAAAAAACTGTTGTGGGGAGCAAAAACACAATAAATTATAATCGCAAAAGTTTTCCTTTTTGCGAGAAGCCTTTATTGATTCAATTTGGCGAAAAGCGAAACTGCAATTGAGGCAAACTGGAGTGAGAATGGGTAACCTGTCTGGCAGCACTAAGCACCTACAGCCCATAAATCAAATAAATCGGTTTAAGGCCCGGCCAACCACCACCCACCCACCATCAATCCCCCTTTTCGACCAAACCAAGCAATTAAAGTTTTTCAAGGGCCATCCGCAACTGCAATTATGATTCAACGAGTCCTGCTACTTTCCCGTTCGGCCCCAAAGACAAAAGGTAATTGAGGCCGGTCCGGGGTCCTGATTCCGGCGTAGCAACCGGATACGGACCCTTCTGGCGTCTCGCACAAATCTACATTACCATGATAATTTATGGCGTCTGTATTGGGGGATCACGATGGGCGGGCAGGCGGGCGAAACTTCGGGGGGAAAAGAAGTTTCCCTGGCCCAGACATAAAGCCCCACTTCACTCCCTACTTCGCTACCCACTTCACTCCCTACTTCACTCCCTACTTGACTGTTGCCCACGTCACTTGACTCTCTTCAGATTTTTTATACAGTGAATAAAACAATTCTCGTTGAACTTGGAATACTTCTGCTTCTTGTAAACTAATAGAATAGAAACATATTAGTATGTGTTCCATCAAACAAAGCTCAAAATGTGCACTGAAAAAATCTTAGATAACTTTAAAACGTTTTAAGCTTTAACCTATATATATATTTGGAATTTCAGAAAGAAAGGTGAATAGTAAAATGGTTTATTCTTAAATAAAACCCTTTTTGTAAATTGATTTTTAGAACTCCCAGTTGCTCCTTGATTTTTGGTTCCCAATCCTAATACTATTTAAAATCCAAAAATTTTTGTTAAATATGTAAAAAAATTGATTTTTCTTATGTTCAAGAGTTCAAGGCCAGAAGAAATCTCACAAAAAACGTGGGTAAATAGGGAGGTTTGAGGCCAGGGGCGACGAGAGATAGAAATTCAGGAGGGAACACGTTGGCGTAGTGGGGCCCAAAAAACAGCAACCGGCAGGCAAACACGGGCAGGAGGAAAACGAAGAGTTCATCAAAAAGGGATTTTGAAATACAAATGAATTTTCGGCATTCTGTTGGAGGCCGTCAGAGACAGAGAGCTTCAGCCAGGCCAAATAGGAGCCCACAAAGGCAATGAGCCGGGGGGTAATGGGGATGGGGACATGGGGCACTCTACCAGATGGAAAGAGATAGAGAGATGTACCGAGCCAAGCCCTCGCAATCAGCCAAAAAATGAAACACTTGCCTATGTGTCGAATACTGCACATAAAACAATTCCATACAAAAAGTGTGCCAAAAAGCATTGCTCTATTTAAAAATAATTATATTAAAAAAGAGATGATAACCATTTATAATTGTTTATTTAAATGCACTAAAAAATAACGATATTTCAAAATTTAGTTTTCCACTCCATTTAATATAAACAAAGGTCTAAGCCTTCCATACTAATTTTCAAATGCAAAATTTGAGGTGTTTTGTAAATGATTGGGATTTGTGTTTGCATGATTTCAATTATTTCTAGTATTTTTTCGAGTGTATGCCTGACAGGGAGGTGTCGGCGACCCACTGAAACAAAGAAACAGGAAAAAGAAAATATATATAGAGAGAAGAAAAACTTTTGCTTACTCTGCGAGAAATGCCAATCAACCCTTTCCTCTGGTATGTGGAAAATGCACGAAAACGCGGGGAAGGGGGGTTGGGGAAAATAGGAGGGCTTTTTCGGGGAAAATAAAGGGTGATGGCGAGGGGGCGGGGGCGACTGTCAACAGCAGAATTCTTCAGGGGCGGCCGTAAAAACGACGACTCATTTGTATTTCCTTGTCAGCTCCTCTGATCTGCTCTTTTCAGCTTTGCTGCGGTCCTTGGTTGTTGTAATTTTCCAAATCATTTCAGCGGCTCAGTTGGAAAACTTTTCAAACGTTTAACTAGCCTCCGCTTAACCCCCTTTTTCCCGTGGGGGAAGGGGGCGTGGCACAACAACAGGCGGCGATGGAAAACGGGGATGAAATGGAATGCGAAAGTAAAAGGCAGCGACGCGGATTTAAAAGTTTAAATAACTTTTATGTATCTCATTACTCAGAAGTGACAAGGCAACCAGGCAGTGCTCCTCCTCCCCCACCTCCTTTTGGCCCTCTTCTTTCGAAGGGAGAGCTTTGAAAATAATCACAATGAAATCGCATAATTCAATTACAAGCCTCGTTAAGCCGGCTCAAGCGATTTTGTCACACTATGCTAAGGGAACTACGAAAGGGAATCGCAAACAAAGTACAAAGATAGCGAGAAAAAGAGTTACAGACGTAGTTTTAAAGAATATCCGCCCAATAAGTTACTAGACGTGCTGATACTATACCTAAAAAAAATAATCAGGAATGTAAATAAATTGTTTTCCGTTTAAATTGAAAGAAATACAATTAATCAACGATTTTAGTTTCAGTGCTGCGAGATATAATATATTTATTATATTTTATTTATTTTAGAATTATTCTTTAATTAAATTATAAAAATTTTGTTTCCAGCTAGAAAACGAATGTAGTTCATTTCAAAGGTAAAACCTTTGTACTCAAAGCAGTTCAACTGTATTCCAAAAGACACCAAGTATTCGCTTCATCAGATGGACAACACTCCCTTTTTGGGGGCAACATGAAATCCCAGTGATTTGTGCCTGGCTTAGACCAGACGATTATCGGTTATATCGATGGATAAGTGGGGGAATGAACTGGACTTTTGATAAGAGACCTTTCGAAATGGGTTTCCTGTGGGGAAAATAAGGGAAGCAATAATGCTTACCTATGTCAGCTGAAATCGGAGTTAATTCTAACTTTTGCTCTCTTATTGTCTGAGTTTCTGGCATTCTGTTTTTCCCCCTTTGAGCTTTTCACTTAATTGAGGTGCTGCGGGAAATTCAGATGGGTCTACCACCTGAAGCTTGCCCCCTTTTCCCTCCCCATCCCCCGAAATTTTCATTGTGCACCCCGCAATTAACAAAGATTGCAAAGCTTTTAGTTCCACTCTTGCAGTGCTCACCCCATTGGACTGTGGTCATGGTCCACCCCAAACCATTTCCCACCTTGATTTTCTTGCACCTTTACTATTTCATTTCCTTCCATCATCGCTTTGTGGGGGTTCCCAGGCATTCGTTTTGCATTTTTAGTTTCTTTTAAGTGAAATCTAAATGCTTTTACTACCAACAGTTGGCTTTTTCCCTGGCTCTGTAGTTCTTCTGTAGTTCTCCGCATTTTCCCCCCGTTTTCCCCTTTTCCCTGTTTGGTGTGTGTGCCATTATCACTGGCAGCGTTTAACTTGCCAGAATCATGAATTCGTTTCGTTGTCGCCTTGCCTTTCCTTTCCATTCCTTTCCTGGTTTTCCCAGCATTTCCATCTTGCCTTTTTTGTGATGTGTAAATAGCATTTGCTGGTCGGTTACTCACTGGGTAAAGTGGG